CTGTGCTTTAACCCGCTGCGCCACCAGGGAGGGCCTTGAATACATTCTTAATGGGTATTTTTGGTTTTGTTTCACTACTCAAATAATAAAAATTTAAACTAATTCCATTTACACTGTTTCCATAGTTTGTGAGTTGTTTTATGTTTACTATTTTTTAGCGGAGTTTAAGAGAGCTGTGAAAGTAGCAACAGGACAAGACCTCTCAAACAATATTTTGGACACAGTGTTCAAGATCTTTGATTTGGATGATGATGAATGTCTGAGTCATGGAGAGTTTCTTGGGGTATTAAAAAACAGGATGCATCGAGGCTTATGGGTAACAGATTTGAAATTTTTAATGTATGCATGTATGTGTAATTAAATGGATGGTATTAAATCTAGAATTTGAGCAAGTGCTTAGCTCAAATGCGGGTTTTGCAATTTAAGATTGTAAACTATAATACAACCAACACTGAAATATCACATGCAGGTGAGAGCTGACATTTTTCTTTGCTTTTTTTCCCTCTTAATCTAAGTCTAAACAGAAACCACTATTCTTTAATGATGACCTTAGATTTGACTTTGGGCTCTATAGTTTGATATATCTAGAGTCAAATCCCTAGCTTTACATACTAACTGCTGAATCTTTAAAAAGCAACTTAATTTTTCTGAACCTCAGATTCTTCCTGTATACAATGAGAAAACTTAATAGAATTTAACATTAAAAATTTTTGTGAGAATTTACTGTTAAATACTATGTAAGTGCGGAGGCACAAAATAAAAGTTAGCTTTTGTCATTACTGAAATTTACATATTGTTCTGTAACTGTGGGACAAATTAAACTATTTTGTTTAGGTAGAATCTACTAGAAACAGTCCCATTAAAGCAGTCTTAAGGTTGGAAACAAGTAGAAAGAGAAAGTATTGATATTTAGCCAGAGGAAAAAAAGGAGGGACAATTAGAGATTAGTGGGTTCATAAAAGCCAGACTTTCTAGAACTTAGAAAACCAATTTCAATTGGCAAAACGCAGCTCTCCGCCTTTTTAAGCAGGTTTTTCATTCTCTTTTTCCTAATAAGCCTGTCCTTTTAAAATGTTAAAAAAAAATTTTTTCCAGTTGCTTACAATAAACATTATGTATGGATAATGAACCGTATAATTTCTAGTAGCAAAACAAAACTTTGTAGTCATCTAACACCTGAGAGTTAAAATCATATTCTTAGAAATTAAACTAATTGATGCAGTTAACAATTTAATATATCCAGGAAGCTCTTTGTCATTTCTCAAAATATATTAAGAGCTGTAAATCAATGGTATTATAAAGAACATCTATATAACCTAAAATGGACTTTTGTTACCATTTGGTTAATTTCCAGCAATGCTGTACTTTTTTGATCACCAGGATCTGAATGTTTTCTAACTTTCACATTGTCATTTAGTTGAGAGGAATGATACAACCTATTTTTAATTCATAAGGCACATACATGAATTTTCTTACTTCTTAAAGCTTCTCATCAAATACAGTTGGTTGTGAGTTTTGTATTGTTGGGTTTTTTTTTCCAATCAAAATTTTACTATTTTTAAAGATTATTTATTTACTTATTTACTGATTTATGCATACAGAGCTAGGGTATAGACCAGAGGTTTAAGGATGGTGAGAGAATTCGCCAGAGACAGAGTAGTGAGGAGAACAGGTAGATCTACAAAGTGCACTGCTGAGGAGAGCAGCAGAGGAGACACGCCACGTAGCTCACCTCCAGGGATGGAACCAGGGCCACTAGCTTGTAGTGCTATGCCTTAACCAGGCAGGGCCGAAATCATAATTATAAATTTTTTTTTCCCACAGTTTACCAGGAAAAAGTTCATTATGAAATGGAAAATTATCAGATAATTATAATTTAAAACTAAATTAGTCTCCCTTCATTCCCATAGTTATGCTCAGCATATTCTTACATAACATTCAATTTTTATCTTTTACCTTATTTTATAGTTCTGTTGCAGTCATCTTTTAAAATTCACCTAAAATCCTTTTTGGAGAATGTGGGAAATAAACAAGAGCAAGTAACAACAGTAACAAGTAAATATGAAATCATGTTTAACCTTAAAGAGAATGACCCCCTTCATTTTTACTTTTGGTTAACAGGTTCCACAGCATCTAACTATACAAGAGTACTGGAAATGTGTGAAAAGAGAAAGCATTAAAGGAGTAAAAGAAGTCTGGAAAAAAACTGGAAAAGGTCTTTAGAAAAAGATAATGAGGAAATTATATTGTTCCTAGTGTCAAAATTTGAGTTGTTTTTTTTTTAAATACTAGATGTTTATCTTTTAAGCCTTCTTTGATTTCCTTTGTGATACAGATATTCCTTGTATTTGCTTTCTGACTCAGTGTATTAATAGCATGTCATTGAAGAACTTAAAAAGTAAAATAAAGTTACCTTTTATGAAGGCAGGTATTAGATTCTGTGAAAAGACCTAAGATTGAAGTAACACTTTGTAATTTGAAAAGGTGGGAAACCTAGATTATTCTCTGATTTCTTAGACACAATAGCACATTATACTTTCTGGAAGGGAAAATGAGAACTTATGGGGGGAAAATAATTATTGTGCAAAACCAGTATCAATTCCACATACTTCTTATAGGACAAATTAAGTTAAAAATATTTCAGGTTTTCTCATCTATATCATACCGTATATTTCTTGTATATTTTATTTCAGCTTGCTATATGTTAAGTGTCTTGAATAAAATATATGTTTCAGTATCCTCTCTGAAAACAAAATAAAGTATTTTTAAAAAGATAAAAAATCACTGAGGTATGTTTTTTTATAATTGTTATATAAAAGTACACTTTCTTTTTAAAGATTTATTTATGCATACAGAACTGTGGTACAAGCCAGCAGTGCAGGGGCAGTGAGAAGATTCACCAGACACAGAGTGGGGAGCAGAACGAAGTGTGACAAAGTACACTGCTGAGTGGAGTGGTGTGTGGGTCTGGGGCCTGGGATTGAATTTACAGAGGTGGCTGTAGCTACCTTGCAGTGCTGAGTCCTTACCCATTGCATGACCAGGGAGGGCCCAAAAGTACACATTTTAAAAAATGTAAATACTCACCCATTGACAATCTCATTAGTTTCCCTGCTATAAAACTTGTGTAATTGGAAGAATTTTGATCACAAGATCCGTATCTCATGGAAATACTGCACTGTGGGTAAAATGGCACCAGAAATTAACTGGCATTAAATACAAATTGGTATTTTTTTGAAACATGGTAAATAAAAAATTTTTTAAAGTATGCCCAATATATTTCAAATAAATATATTGCAAATATTTTAAAATGTTCATCTCCATAGGTAATTGTTGAATACAAGAGTAGGGCAGAGAAGGTACACTATAAACCTCAAACATTTTATACCTAAAAGTAAGAAAATACTAAAAAACTAATGGAGACATGTCAGAGGACAAAAGCCAACTTCAAGGGAGTATCTCTGGCCAAATCTGGGAAAATTTGAGCATTAAAATAATGTTGGTAATGGAGCGTAACCTACTGAAAAATCAGTGAGCTTACCCTGAAAATTGATTGCTTTTTCAAACTGATTGAAAACTTAGATCAGTAAAGGGTACGACCTTGAAATAAGTTCATCTGTTAAATTGGAAAGCCCTTTGTTATAATGTAATACTTGACATTAGCAAGTGGTAAAGCTTTTTATAGTTTTTATAGAAATATATTGCTATTGATTAAAAATTTAAATTTGTCCTGTTTTCAAAGTAACTGATATTTTTATTTCTATGTTGTAAAACCAAACCAAGAGAAAAGATACATGATTCAAAAAAAAAGTGTAAGAGTGCATCCTTTACCATTTTCTCACTTAGCCACAAAGTACTGACTCTTCTCCCTATCTAACCAGATGAACATACAGGGATAAGATTAGGGATATAAAAGTATCAAAGTAGGGATTGTTTTTGTCATCTTCATCTTCTTGCCCTAACTTTTGCAGTCTATTCACCTTAAACCAATTCCCCCTACCCCACTTTGCACAGCAGTACTCTGGCTTTAAAATTCTTAGCTTTTCCTTGCAGACACTGTGTACACCTATCCCCTCCCAAGCCACTCCAACAAGTTTCTGGCCAAGATACTTGCCCTCTTCTGTTAAAATTCTTGAGATCAAGTTGCTATTTATGTGTCAAGTTTTTCTCTACTAAGCCATTAAGCTAAAAGGAAAAAAGAGTTTCAACTTTGCCATCTATATCTACCATTCTTGCTAAGTGCCTGACTTAGAGAATAGCAGCTAACAAATATTTGCTGAATAAAAGGAAGAGAGAGAAGGAAGATGAGAAAAGGGCTAAGACGAGAAGACAGGAGAGAGGTAAGTAAGACTATTAAAGATGACTGTTACTTTATTTCAAATATGCTTTCATACCAGATTAATTTTTCTAAAGTCTGATTGTATTGCTTCATTTTTTTAAAAAGATTTATTTATTTGTGCATACAGAACTGGGGTACAGGCCAGAGGCTCAGGGGCGGTGAGAGGCTTCACCACAGACAAAGTGGGGAACAGAACAGGCAGATCAACGAAGTACACTGCTGAGGGGAGCAGCGGGCGGGTCAGGAGCGGTCTGCCACGCCATGTGGTCACCTCCGGAGCAGGTGGGAATTGAACTCATGCGGAAGTGGCTTTAGATTCTCAGTGCTGTGCTTTAACCCGCTGCGCCACCAGGGAGGGCCATATTGCTTCATTTTTGACAACCCTATGACACTATAAAGTCACCTACAAAATAAAAGTCAAACCCAACATGTGGGAAGAGCCTGGCCAGAGAGTTCTAATATGGTTGGAAAACAGAACAAGTGGTAGACATGGAAACAAGTCAATCGCCTCCCGAAAACATATAAATAGGATTACTCTCTTAGAATTAAATTGTAAAATTAAAGTTAGGTAGAGAGTGAGTGCAGGAAGATCGCAGAATAGGAAGTACACTGCTGAGGGGAGTAGTGAGCAGGTCAGGAGAGGTCTGCTGGGCCTCTCTGTGAGTCACCTCTGGGGCAGGGATCGACTCATGCTAGCTTCTTAGTGCTGTGTTTTAATCCGCTGTGCCACCAGAAAGGGCCCAAAATTTTTAATTTTTTTAATGAATCACTTTTGTAATGTATCTTTTTCTTACATCTTTGTTAATTTTGACAGTACCTGATTTCTCCCCTCAGGTGCAGTCAATGTAGTTCTCCCACCACCAGAATACCCATAGTCCACCACTGTAGTCCACTGTGTTTGTCCTCTCTCCACCTGCTCTGCTGTTTTCATCAGCCCCTCTTTCCCAACCCCTCCTGGCCTCCTGCATGCCTCAGATCTGTGGTCAGCTTTCAAGGTTTATCTCTGACCCTTTTTTTGGTTTCTCTAAATTCCACATAGAAATGAAACCATCTGGTATTTATCTTTCTCCTTCTGTCTTAAAGGGAAATAAAATTGTTTTGGGAATTGGAGTTAAGCACAAAGGAATTGAATTTTATATTCTAAAAAAGCCGGTTTGGGGCAAAGAAATGTGGATTTGGTGAATTTTATTCATTAGCTACTGTGCAGTTCATGTGAACAGGTTTCTTTCAGGTAAGGGAGCTTTGAATTTCTCCTGGTGGGCCCTTTCCTCTGGGTAACTCACCCTTTTCTGCTTTTCTCAGTCTCCACCCAACCTTGGAGCTTAACTCACGATTATTTGCTTCTACTTGTTCAGGCTGTGTCAGATCAGCTGTGTTTGTAAATACAAACCTTAGCTAGAATTTTAAATAAGGTTTTTTTCCTCTCCTTTATATTCTTAGAACCTGAGACCAACTTAACTATTTAGACTATTTCACCAAGATACAGAAAATAAGATTACTGAAAAGACAGAGGTGTGTCCTATAGTCAAGCCCAGGAAACATCAGAAGAACAACAAGAAACATTCCAAGTAAGGACTTGAAAATCACCAGGACTCTCACAATCTATTTCTCTGCTTTGTCTGCATCACTTTCACTCTCTTTCACTGAGACCAACTCTACTCTCTCTGAAATATAAACATTCCTGGAAAAGGTGTTGATTGGCTGACCACCTGAGTATGGGACACACTAGAACAATCAACTGTTTTCAGAATGGCAGGGTCTCTAATAATCTGGTATCTTCTATGCCCCCACATAATTAGTGTGTAGTGGACGAAACTTTTTTTTTTTTTAGATTTATTTATTTGTGAATACAGAACTTGGGTACAGACTAGAGGTACAGGGGCAGTGAAAGGATTCGCCAGAGACAGAGTCGGGAGCAGAACAGGCAGATCGACAAAGTACACTGCTGAGGGGAGCAGCAAGCAAGACAGGAGAGGTCTGCTGTGCCATGTGAGTCACTTCTGGAGCCACTGAACTTGCACTGACACAGCTGCAGCTAGCATGCAGTGTGCTGCGACCTAACCCATTGCACTACCAGGAAGGGCCCGAAATACATTTTTTTAAACCAGGTTATTAGTCCTAGACTAATACTAGGGTGCTGGATTTTTTCCTCCCTAAGTTGAAACTCTATAGGCTGAGACCAGTTTAAAGGCCTGTAAGGGCCTATTTCTCAAAACCAGAGGATCAGCATCAAAGTGACACGTCTCAGGAAAACTTCCAAGAATTTTTTTCAGTTGTGTGGCCGAAAACGGATACCATTGAGCATATTACACTAAGCATTTTATATAATTAACCCTTCATCACCAATCCAGTCGAAAGTATGGACAGCTGTACATAGCTAAATTAATAATTATGCAAAAAATATTAATTTGATTCATATTTTTACTTTGTGGCATTTTTCAGAATCTTATTTGGGGTCAGGATGTGAGAGAGTAGGGAGGTTTGAGTAAGCAGAAAGAAACCAGCATGGCTATCAGCCACCAGTCCTTTGAGTCTTGGAGCTCCCTTTTCTGAGCCTAACCCTGCCATCTTCCCTCCATGACTCTCCTTGGCCCATAAGATGGTAAGCATGGAGACTAGAAGTAGAAAAGACAGTACCTACCCTGAAATTGTAGTGCCTTTGATTTATTCTCTTAATGATATATAACAACTCTTCCCAGATTCCAACCTCTCTGCCAATAATACACCACAGAAAAATTCAAGCAAGTGTTAACAAAGGCACACACAGGATTGTAATAGGGTGGTAGGGGGGTGGGGAAAGGTGGTGGGGGAGGGGAGGTTCCAGGTTCCCTACCCCACCCACAGGAGGGTGGAGCTGAACTGGGAAGAGAAGAAGCTGAAGAGACTGGAGAAGGAAAGAAGCAGGATAGAGAGCCAGAAGGAGACTCTGAAGGAGGTACATGAAGCAGAAAGACAGGTGAAGAAATTGTGCTTGTTTCTTGGTCCTGGACTGGTTGAAACAGATGTGAGTGAGAGACCCACGGGGAGATGTGACTGCCTCTGAACCTTTTCTATGGGTCCCAGCTGGAAGGTCTTTAGGCTTGTGGGAGGCTTTCCGGTTTTGATTTGGGCCAATCCTATTTGGCTGGACATCTACCCACCAGGGGATGCGTAACTTTGGTGCTTGGGTTTCAAACTATATTTTCTGTATTGTCTTTTCTGTATTGCACAGTCTTATTATGATGCAACAGGTGGCAGAACTATTTAGAGCAGGCAGGTTTGGGTGTTCTGGGGTATCCCTCTCCCTGCCCTGTAACAGGACACCAGAATGAACCCCCACAAATGTTCAATTATGAACAGAAGTTTCCATGCTCAGAAGACCTTCCTAATCTTTGAAGTATCCATTCTACATACTC